ATGTTTTCGTTTATTACGTACAATTAAAAGAAAATGCGTACCTTAATTTACTAAAACAACTGGCAGTGTCTTTTTGAGGTATTGGATACAACTGAATAGTTTCTAACAATTGTTCGAATTCGAACACTTTACTATTTTCGTTGCCTATCACGCTGACATTGGCAGATGACAGTGGCGAGGATTGTCGTCGTGACAGCAAATGCTTAGATACGATTTTATTGCTGTCCAATACTACTAAAAATGTAAATGCTCCAGGTCATTATATGTGTTCGCAATAAAAACATGAGAAAAAACAGTGCTTCCCAGAACTTTAATTACCATTTGGCACTATTAAGTCCGATCTAGACGCGTCTACTTCGTGATTAATTTTATTGACTAAAGATATTTTTGGGAGATCCTTATCGCAATCTATGGAGTTCGAACGAGTCGCTGGCTCGGATCTCGTTTGACTTCCGCAAGCTATTAATCCGGATACTTCTTGCTGATAAATGTTGGACAGTTGACCTAAATTAGATCTACCGTTGCATATCATTTGAGGCTGATAAAGATGAGACGGGCAAGTGGAACGTTTCTCGGAAAATTGTTCGTTGCAAGATGAATCGAGTTCGTGGTGTTTGTGCGAGAACGAGGATGAACCGTGAGCCGACAGTGTGGCAGCACAATGCAAGGGACTAGAACTGTGATGTAAACTAGTTAAAGAAGTCCTAGAATCATTTGCGTCGTCGACGTGCTGATTGAAACACAAAGAGGTCCACGCGGAATTCCTATCTTGCATTTCAAACAAATGCAACAACATTATCTCGTCTTCTAAACTATCGTTACCTCGCAATCTATAAAATAATAGTATACAATTAAAATGATTACTCTCAAAATGAATCTGAATAATTGTGAATTTTAATTTTCAAGTAACCTGCAAGTCTCTCCTGTACTATCCCGGTTGCTTTGTTGCTTCGTACGCTGTTTATTTTGAATCCACGGCGTTAACGATTCTGCAACTTCTACGTCATTTTCTCCTGTAAAAATTACAATTGCCATTATTAGGAATTATTAGAATATTGTAGCTTATGTTGCACGTAACGTAAAGAATAATTTAACATTTTTCTGTGACTCTAATTATCATGGTACATGTACGAAAATAATTTATTCGGTGTTGCAAGCACAAAAGTAAGAATTAGACGGAGATTAATTCGGAAAAAGACGGAGGATCTTTTATGAGATTGCTCGAAAGTGATCTGGAGTATGGGAAGTAGGATTCTCTTTCATATAATCTTCGTCTGGTTTCTCATTCGTGGATTTTTCGTTTTCGACACCTTTATCTAACTTGCAGTTCCGCTGGCTGCATCTCTGTACATCTATAAAACCCTTGTTCGAACTTGCACCTAATTCAATCATATTTTTGTATAAATCTATATGTACACATATGCTGGATTAGTTATGAAAAAGGGCCAAAAGGAAAATTCGAACATCTAAAGAAGAAAATTTAACTCATACCTGACATCGTTTCATCGTCCACGTCGTTTTCGTCGTTCGAATTATCGTCCAAAAGCGTTAAAACTGGTTTATTACGTTCACATTCGTCCAAGTATATATCGTGTTCGCTCAATTCCTGAAATAAATATAAATGTTCGGCTTGAATAATATTCACAGACATTTACATCGTTTCGGTTTAACGATTCCAACGATACTGTTTAAAATGTCTCACTCCGCTATCGCTACTGCTGCTACTGGACAAAAGGTTCAATGGTTGCTGATTAAGTACTGTCGGTGATGAATAAGATGGAGACGGGGAATGAGCACTATTCGTTTGACATTCTCCAGAACTATCATTTGTGTTATGCAAATTGGGTGATTCGGGTTTCCCTCTATGTTGTTTTAAGCTGGTTTTCGATGAGATAGAAGATAACGTTGAAGAGGATCCGAGCGGACGTATGTTTGAGACATTTCCTAATTGGCACATAGGCATTAATTGATCACCTGCCATGACACCACTGTTACTTCCGCCAGAGAGCACATTCTGTAGCGATCTATCGCAATAAAGGGCTTTGAAGTGTATCGTACAGTATAGAGTCCACGAAACGTCGAAAATTTTAATCGTATTTATTCAGAAAAATGGTAAAATAGGACTTACCTTGCCGATGAACCATTTTGATAAGTTTCGACGGAACGAGATGAATTGGAATTCAATAATGGATCTCCAGCTGCCTGCGACTGTTGTTGCATCACTAGTGGTGTTACATTTGATGTTTGTCCACATAATGTTGCTCCGCTTGATACTCTTGCTGCCATTGCATTCCTAGATATCTCTATTGCCAGTCTCTGAAAATCAGTTTTAAAATGTTTAAACCCGTAACTGTGACTTGTTAGTTAAAATAATACCTCTTTCAATTCATTGATTTGAGCAGCGTACTGGTTCTGAACTGTAACCAATTGACTGATATACCACTGTTGATCCCTACACCGTTGATAAAATGTTGGTGGTCGTACCTGAAACCTGATATTCATTTGGATATTATAATTCCAATGGTAACATAGAGAATCAAATGAATTCGCATAGCTTCCGCATTCGTATGAACGAAGAACATTAAATTTACCGCAGTATAAGAGTATCCAACTCTGTATTTAAGTAACCCTCGGTTGCAAGTAAATCCAATCTGAAAAATCTGTTGTAACCCCAACATTCACCAATTTCGAAGTCAGAGGCAAATTCTCGAACAATGTTCTTACTTGTGTCGCGAGATCCCTGGTGTATCATTTCAACTCGATATTCGTATCTAGGGAGAACATATTTTAAAAATTGTTGATCAGAGTTCAAAAAGAAAACGGAATTTCTTTATAACGCATACTTGGATGTTTCTGGCAGACCGGCGCTCAATTCTAGGAAAACGGATAAATAATTTCCGCGGACAACTCCGTTTCCATCAGGATACACTTTTAATCTCCAACATAATCCGTTTACATGCAAAGGCGCTGAATATACGGGATCTGCTTTTAACTGAAGTTGAGTGAAATTCTGCATCGCAAAAGTTGCGCTATCATATCCTGGTACGATTTCACTGTAAAAGTAAGCAAAAATCAATCATTATCTTTGTAATGAATTACGATGTAAATAATTATTAATTTACCTATGGAAATCTGCAGGAACAGGAGCTGTTACAAAACTCGTCATCGGCTTTTTCCTCACTTGGTGTATCATTCGCGATAAATCTGCACTTTTAATAATAAGTTCAGATCGAGTGCAGGTATGCAACTGATGTTCAACTTCTTGCAACAAAGCTTCTAGTTGTTCAGTTTCTAAAGTCAAGGAATTTTTCTGACCCATTAATGTTAACAATTTAGCTTTTAGCTGAGAGTCTAGACGTGCTATCATCAATTCTACTGCATTTCTAATTTCTCTAACTCTTTCATCCTTTGCAGCTCTCACTGATTCAACGTTACGTTCCTGTTGAGAAAATAAACATGAAATAACATTCATTGATTTTTTTAATTAAACTGGTATTTATAAAGCTTACCACTTCTTGAACAAGACTGATCAATTCCATCAGTCTTCTTTTCAATTGTCCTACTTCTGCTTTTATTTGTGTAACATGTTGCTCATAGACTTCTTCTAAAGGTTTAAAAGTATGTCCTGAATGAGTACCACCCCATAGGGCACATTGATGACATATACATCTACGACATGTCCAACAATAAACAGATAACTTCTCGTGGTGCACAGTACACCTGCAAAAAAAAGTTCATAAGTTGAGGTACCATACTGCATTACAAATCTAAAAAAATCAACACTTAAAATTTGTAATCTTTCTCCACTTTTACATACAATTCTGTCTGGCTAATGAAATAATAGTTCTTAAAATATATTATAAAACTGAACTATTCTTTCTAACTTATGAAAGAAATACCTGTCTCTGCTGGAGTCATCGTGCTTAGAATTTGATATACCAACAGCTTGAAGTGTATCAAGTTGTTGTGTCACTTCTTCTACCCATCTACAGTTTACCAATTCGTGCAGATGTAAGGATGCTCTGCAATGAGGACACTGAGAACGCTGCTCTGTGAGCCATCTTCTAATACAAGTATAGCAACACAGTTTACTGCAGTGAGGACAAAGATGCGCGTCCCTCAGTTTTTCCATGCAAATGAAACATCGGAAAACTTCTGCTAGTGTCTAAAATAAAATATAAAATTTTAATCTCGACTCAGAAATTAAAAATTAAATGCACATTTCAATAATTTCAATATGTATAATTGTACAGCATATCCACAAACCTCGACACTGTGATCATCCGAGTTTTTTGAGTTAATTGACGTTTCTCTGCTAGCCATACTGTCTGACATTTATTAATAAAAAATTGTTAAAGTATTATTGACCGTTACATCTATCGCCAATACTCAAAGTAGCACAAATCTTCGACATCTCATCTCGCTGATTTGTTCAACTATATATTTGGTTTAATAGAATGTTATTTTCAAATATATGTTCATTATTAACATCTGCTACTTAGCTACTAATCGGACATACACGAAATGCTTTCTAAGTACTCTTAAAAATTTGTAGAGAAGTATTCGATATTGTTATGAGTGGTGATTCGCCATGAAGTAAAAATATTCTTTAGCGAGCAGTACAGGAAACGTTCGATCCCGTTAGGTCAGTTTATTTCAAAATATATGCATATTCAGAATGATATTATTCCATAAGTTTTTTATTGTAGTAAAGATGTTTTAATAAGTCTCGTACTAAAAACAAATCGGAAACGTACAATAAAATTTTATCATGCCAAGATTCATTTTTGAATAATTCGAATTTGAAAATTCGTTAAGCATTAGATAGTTATATTTCTTCCCAACCGGAAGCACTATTTCATTAGTTAAATAAAATCTATTTCAGTCTAGTTTCAACTGCTTGGTTCCTTTCAAATATATAATTTTACCGCAATTATTTTAAGCTATAATTAATATTTATCAAACAGCTGATTTTCTCTTGTAGTGGCACCAATGACATGTGACTGTGACTATATTCATTATGCATAGAAAACGTAAGTTATCACGTTGTTGTTAAATCTGAGTAACGTGTTGTTTCGTAAATAATATTTTCCAAATTTTTTAAACTGTTCAACGCTCCCAATTTTCCAATCAACGTATTCGGAGTATTATAGAAGAGTTGTCTCGTGTGAAGTTCTAAAATGACGACTACTTCAAAAAGAAGAAAAGCCCCAGCAAAACTCAAGGTAAAGCAGCTGTTTATCATGTTTTTACTGAAAACTGCGATGTTTCCACACTTTTCATTTTTATACATGATTACAGAGCATGGGCAATCATGACGAATTTCTAAATCGTATATCGAAATCACTTTATTATTCGAAATTGCCAATGACGGACTGCCTCAGTTTACCAGTTACTGGTTAGTGTACAATCAACAAGTATTTCAATTTTCTATCCGTGTATTTTGCGTTTAATCGTGATGCAACAATAAGAAGAGAATACGTTATTTCATTTGTATAATTTTAAAATCTGTAAAATATAAAATTATGGTTTCTAAAAAGTTTTGCTTTTAAAGTATTAATATTCTTTTGAATAATACTTGTACTTTGTGTATTTGATACCTTTAATTGTTCAATAATATTACACAAATAATTAGAAGAGTTTCAGTATTAAAGTTTATACAATTAATATATATTTTTAGAATTGGCAGCAGAACTCTTTACCGAAGTAAAAAGTGGTTATACGCTTGAACGATTAGATGTAGAAGAGGCAAGCAGGATATCTAGAAACGCGTGTGTTTCACCATGCTGTCTTGTTTTGGCTTTATTATATTTAGAAAGACTAAAAGATTGCAATCCTGAATATTTACAACGAGTGGCACCTTCTGAATTATTCCTTGTTTCTTTGGTATTGAACAATATCATTTATTATATAAAATTTTAGTATCCCCAGGAAAATATTACCGATTCTATATTATTATTCCCATCACAGATGGTGGCTAGTAAGTTTTTAAATGATGAAGGAGAAGAAGATGAAGTTTTTAATACCGAATGGGCTCAGTCTGGTCATTTAAGTATATCACAAATGAATCAATTGGAAAAAGACTTTCTCCAAGCTATTGTAAGTGAACTAATTTGTAATAAATTACTGGTATCTTATGTTAATTAATACTAATTAAACTATTAAAATATTTAGGATTGGACAGTTTTTGTCCACAATCAAGATTTTTGGGAAAGACTACAAAGATTAGAGAAGGCTATAGCTTACAAAGAAGCTCAAAAAAGGGGTTGGTTTTCATACACAGAATTGAATTGTCTAATGAACTCAATGCAGCTGCTATCGATTGCTAACGCTATGATAAATATATCATCTATTTGTTTAGCAACGTACACTGCAGGTATAGTCACTTTATTGGGATCTGCTTTGGTTGCAAGCTATTTTCCAGGAACAGTACTCAGTCCGAGGCAAACAACAAATTCTACAGATGTAACAAGAGTAGATCTAAATCCAAATGTAGATGTTTCAACAACAGTAATTCAAAATATACCAGAAGAGGTTTTGAGAACAGATTTTACTTCGCTACATTGCAATGAAACTCAACAAAAATGCAAAAATATTGAATCAAATGAAGTGATAAATGAACATTGGAAATGGTGGTTAAATTCTGTTATGATTTGGTTACCAGCATACTCAGGCTTGGATCCAAAAGAAACATTACACACGATAAGTGACACCATTGAACATACAAATTCATTTATAACATCTACTAATTTTGTCCTGGACACTACAACGTTAATGCAAGATGCAGATAAAATTGATGTAAATTGGAAACAAATTTTGGGCATAGATTTAAATCTTCTTTTGCGTGATTGGAGATATTATGCAAACTATGTTACAAAAATAACTCTGGGTTATCATCACTAAAGACTAAACTTTTGTAGATACGTAGAAACAAAATTTCTAAAATTATTATAAGATGTTTATGCTAGGAAGATTGAGAAAAAAAAGTATATATTTTTTGTACTAACTTGTAAACTCACAAAGAACTTCTACACTAACAAAATAATTTTTTCAATAAATACGTGGGATAGATACTAATGGACTATTTTTTAAAATCTTTTATACCTTTCCTGGAAGTTCTCAGGTTTAATTAATAAAAGGAAGTGTAATGAAAAACGGAAGATACTAATAATACATCTATCTCTAGTGCTATTAGTACAATTTTGATAATACATTTCTTTATACATGTACATACATTAAATACATTCAATATTATTACTATATTACATAAGCACTATGATTGTTGTAAATTAAAATTGCAGTTAATCTTAATTTATATCGTACAGATTATACAGAGGGATGGATTGTGTTTGTATTATTACATAATCATTAAATTCGGAGAATTAATACGGTTTTAATAAAATTGAAGTTTTCAAGTGCTAAGTACAAATACCTTCAAGCGTTATGATGAAAATAAGTGAAAATGGGTATAGGTGACATTCCAATAATACAGCCAATTGTAACTCCTATAACTCGTCCCTAGGGTATTATAAATTATTTTGGTTTTTCTCAGCTTAAGTAACTTATTAACTAATATTTTCAATAAAATATAAAAGAATAAGATATCATACCACATTTGCAGCTAGTTTTGTTTTAGGCAGATTTAATTCTATAGAAGTAAGCTTTGGTGCTTGAAATCCAATCTTTTGTGCGAAAAGTTCTACATAATGTACAGAACCAATTCCTATTATGTCGGATACCGTGTTTCCTAATGCTGCAGCGGCCATAGTCGATATCGGAAATTTTTTATTTAACATTGTTTCAATTTGATCACCCTGAAATTAGCGACTTACACATTGAAATATTATTATGTACATAAGATTATAATACGTACAGCGATAATCATGATGAAGTTGTCAAGAAAACCAAATCCGATGAACGGAATTGCATTCGCAATTGCAACTGCAAGAACAGATTACCTAACATTATTACTATGGCATTAACTCGGTTTATATCGCATTTCAAATTAAGAAATTGTTTTATTACATTTAACGCTACTTTATAATTTAAAAACAATTTTAAATTTTAAATGTAATAAGTATGAAGCATCCTACCTAATACTAGATTTTTTGTGGACGGTCCTGGAACATTTTCAACTGTAACGCGAAAGAGGAAAATATAAATGCGTGTTCTCCAATGAAAAGAATATTGTAAAATTAATCAATTGAAAGTTAGTCGTTCGTAAAAAATATATTCTTCATATTACTTACAAAACATAAAGCAGTTATCATTCATGCATTTATTTTTCTGCATATGTTATGTAATAAATTGAAAAGTATTTTTGGATATTGATCATTTCCAATCATTTCATGTACAAAAATACTTGCTGAAGTCATTTGAAATTCATTTCATAAAATGCTTAGGTCTATTAATTAATTAATCAAATACACAACAGTTTAGGAAATAAAACTTTATTCAAATAAAAGTACATTCTTTTTATCTAACAGATATTTACATTTAAATTTACTAAATGGTGTAACACATATTAAGTGTAGAAGAAGGAGTTCTGTGCAATATTCTGAGCAAAATATTTATACTATGAAAAGTGCATTCTTACAATCATGCAAACTTGTAATCATTTGATACAGAGATTAACTCAGATGGTAAAAATTATTTTTATAAAAGCATTTTTGATGCAATAAAAATATGAAAAATGAATTTCCAAGAAGCTTAACTCTCTTTCATGTGTTTATTCAGTTATAAATCATGCTGCACAACGTTTGTTCTTGAATTCATTAATGTAATGTTGTATGTGTATTTGTGTTACTAAACATAATTAAATAAATTAAGTGATTGCTATAATTATTTAAGACAAATAGATACTTAAAATATACTTCTTGCAAAAAGGTATTTATAATGTATGTGATGTAGTGGTTTTTTTGTGTATATTATATTCTTACCTAAGAGTAACAGCAATAATAATAATGTATGAGTACCTTAAATGGATTTAACAACTTTCTATCTAACGTAGAACATTATTTTTTATACTGGATTAAAGACGCTAATAAAAATGCACATGAAATGCAATATATTACCTAAGTGTGACTCTGTGGATGTCTTTTTCTAATATCCAGAAAGTTCAGTTAAAGTAGAAGAAGCAAGTGAAGAAATTAGAACACATAAGTTTGAGAGAATGTTCGACTCTACATGCATTGAACTTACAGCATGATGTCCATGTAGAATGCGATGGAAAGAAAAATTTTACACTGTTAAAGAATAATGGAAATCATTCTAACTCACAATATAATAACAATAAATATTTCCACTTCACTGAATTATTAGTATGTTATATCATTCTGAGGTTCTATTAAATAATAATTAATCGATCTGTTATACGAAATAATATATGCTAATAATATGAAACCGTTATTACTTTTTATCCTAGTATTATCAATTGCTGTATATTAATAATAAAAATTGACTAAAGTTTTGATGTTCCTACCATACTTGCGCAAGAGCCAATCATCAGGTACCCGACAATATTTTCCTGTAGCATCCACATCACCTAATGATATTTTTGTAGGTCTTCCAAGTTCGTTGCACCATCGAAAAGCAGCTAACTGACCTTAATTAGGAAAAATCATTATTAAATGTATGAAAATGATTAATTATGTGAGGTTGAGAAATAAATTGGTATCCAATCAAAGTCTTGAAAATAATACTTAATCAAAATAATTACGTTGATATTTTTCCTTATCTTCTTCTGATCTGCATTCCTCTATAGCCTTTACGATGATCTCACGTTCTTCCGCAGTAAGTTTTAAAGCCAATTCTTTCGCTTGCTGCTTTGTTAAACTACCAGAAATACTTTCTACTTTACTTTTATCGGTACTGTTGTATGTCCTTATAATAGACGTGCTGACACGAAGAGAGGGTGACAAGTATTTTCCTAGCAAATAACTGTTCGCATGATATAGTTTTCGATGACAATGACATAAATGCGATATACTTCTATTAAAATACATAAATTCCCTTGGAATGAAAATTGCCTGCCTAACGAACACCGTAACCGTCATATTAGATTTATTTAACAGAACGTTTTGCTACGTTTTTATTTAAAAAATCAAAACGACATGCGACCATAAGACCACGTATAATGTCGATTACGAAAATTAGTCTGATAAACTACTTAAAACTTAATCTTCTAAGTATAGATTTTACGATAAGTAATTAAAAAACGATTAAAACACATTTCTTAAGTTGGATCGACCGGCGGTGATTCAAGCTTGCGCCACCACTGGTCACGTTCGATGACGTATCGACTACAGAATGAAAATAATGTCAATGATGGCGAAACGTTTAGACAAGTTATTTACGTTACTGTTCGTTAAAATAATTTTAACAAATATTCTTATCGGACAGTATGAAACGATTGAATTTTTAAAAATAAATTCTTATTTCTTAAATTTCAGTATCGCGAATTTTGTGAAATTGAAAAATATTTTTCTTCGTCGGTAAAAATGTTTAAACCGAATTTGTAATTTAAGGATTTCTTATGGACAAGTTTTTTTCTAACAGCTCTTTTTAAAGATATGGGATTTATTTTTAAATTATTTCATACATTCGTTAATAATTCTTTAATTACTAAATTGAGTGTCATCTTTCTAACCGCACCGTTTTTACGCAGGGCCTGCCGTACCTGCGTTTGGCTTCTTCGATAAAAGCATTTTCCATTTGTCTCACAATCTCATTGAAAAATAAATTCGAGAAATGTGAATATATGAGCGATTTAAATTCGAATGATAAGGAAAAATCAATTACGCACGTTTGAACATTATTTTTTAATCCTGGACTGAAAAGCCATAGTGTATTTAAATGATTAAATAATCTGCCGTCTGTGCATTCAGCTTTTACTAAACGTGGCCGAACCATCGTTACTTTTGAGGTATAGTATTCCTTTATAGGCGGAAAACCTATAACTAGATTGGCTTTGAGAGTATCTTCTTTTTTAAATATAATATCGGATTTTTTACAAAATGGCACGAAGTTTTTATAATTCTCAACGTCCGCTACAACATCATACATTTGCTCCATCGAGAATCTGCATATAAAAGTAATATAAACGAATACTCCAATAATATTTTTATTTTGCTGTAACAAGATATTCTATTCATATATTTAAATTAACTTACCCTATCAATTTACGTCCTTCGTATTCTTTCATTTTCGAAGATTCAGCCATATACATTCTTTCTATACATTGTTTATTGAAATTACTTTTTCCTGGAAGTACTACATTTTTAAATAATACAATACTTCTGAAAATAAAATGATATTTATTCATCTGAAAGTTATTTTCAATTCAAAAGCACGAAAATAGTCACTATGAAAACACGCCTTTATGATTCTTCGAGTGTGCGAATTAATACTCAAGTAATATTAATGATTTATATAACAATAAAGTGTAAGAAATAAGTTTCGACAATAATATGGCACAACATTTTTTAAATATATGAGCTACTGTAGTTACTTAAAGTAATTAAAAATAATACACATGATGACATATCTTTCTTACGAAGTGAAATTTCCGCAAACATGGTTATGTCACTTATTATAGTTTTCATTACACTACTATACTGTCATTGCAATTTGAAATGTTTATTTTAAGCAACGCAACTTGTAATTTACAAATTTCATAACTTTATCTTTATTTTTTAAATTCTAATGCAATCGTATCGATATAACCTAAATATACACGCAACTTAAAAACCGTAGTAAACGTAATTTTACAACACATACATATAAAATATATTACCTATGCATGGTGTTTGAATATACTGTTAAGTTCACTACGATATAATATAATAAATCTGAATACGGTAACTATATTTTCACCTACAATATGAAAAATTGTAACATCATAAATATCCACTAGTCCACTTCATTCTCCTTTGACTAATTCCGGATATTCTATTCATTCAATTTTCTTTTAAATAATATTTATATTCAAATACGTCTATGCGAACTTATAAAATGCAGAGGATAAAAACGTGCGTATTAACTCTTCAAGAATGCACTTTCATACTGTAAGTTTATTCAAAAATAATGTTATATTTTTAGAGCTAAATGTCAAATGATAACATAAGACGTTTCTTTTACCCAATGAAAACGATATTCATTTATATATTATCAATATATTAAGCATCGTTGATGCAATTTTGTTAAATATATGTTTCTTAACCGAGCACGTTTTGTTTCAGTTAATTTTATTTTAATAACATTAGACTTTATAATGTGTATCAACAACAATTAGAAACAGCATTGAGATTTTATTGACATCAAAGCAAAATTTAGCAACGATTTTACATTCGCATATATTGTCGCACAGTAGACAAACGTAGCAGTAAGGTTGGTACACTGTCATGTGCAAAGTTACATAACACTGGTACCGCAAACGCCTTCGTTTCAATTCATTTTTAAAAAATGGCTGGCATTACTCCACAGGCTTGTAGAAATGTATTCCGGCAAGTACGTACTTTTCTATTCTATTGAATAAGAAATTATGTCACTTGTTAATAATGACATTTTTATTAACATAATACGTTCTTCACATTATTGCGACATGTGCAAAAATTGAATTCCGATACGTTCCGCTACTAATGTCAGATCAATAGACGTCTTTTTTTGTTTGTACGTTTTGACATTTCTGTATAAATGTTGATGATAATGTTTGCACATTTCGTATTTAAGCATATTCTCACTTTATATTATTATGTCGAATATTATTTATCAGTAAACAGCAAGATGAAACTAATGAACACAACTGTTTATAATTATATAATTGCTACTACTAGGTTTATTCATAAATAAAAATATTCTAAGAAAATTGTTTTTCCATGGATATATATATATAAAATATCTAACGTCATTTGAGTTTGATCTTAAATTAAATTCTATGTTTATTAATTTAGGTTAGAGGTTTACATACCTCTGCTAGCCAAAATGCAGCAGCCAGGATAAAAACTTTTTCTGTATATCGTTGGAATCCCGATAAACCTGATGAAAAACCATATATGCAAGATTACAAAGTAGATCTAAACAGGTAAGTTTAATGTAAAAAATTAATGTAATGATATCATTATTGTTTTCTTCTACGTATTTAGAAGAGGTATTGTTATAGCTGTGGTCCTATGGTTTTGGATGCATTAATTAAAATTAAAAATGAGATGGACCCTACATTAACTTTTCGTCGTTCCTGCCGTGAAGGCATTTGTGGTTCTTGTGCTATGAACATCGGTGGCACAAATACTTTGGCATGTATTAGGTACTTAAAAAATATTCTTAAGTTCTTCTATTATAACAGACATGAAAATATAATATATGTGATTATTTCAGCAAAATTGATAGTAACTTAAGTTCAAGTAGCAAGATCTATCCTTTACCGCATATGTATATAGTAAAAGATCTAGTCCCAGACCTGACAAATTTTTATAATCAATATAAAAGTATACAACCATGGTTGCAACGTGGCGATGGAAAGGAAGCTGGATCCAAGCAATACTTGCAGAGTGTTGATGACCGTAAAAAATTGGTAATGTTTCTTTATCTGTGATAAGACTCTCAATTTTATTGGATGTAATTGATAACTTATTATAATGCAGGATGGTCTCTACGAATGCATCTTGTGTGCTTGCTGCAGCACTTCTTGTCCATCGTATTGGTGGAATGGTGATAAGTACTTAGGACCTGCTGTACTTATGCAAGCTTATAGGTGGATCATTGATTCACGAGATAATAAGGCAAAGGAACGTCTCATGAAATTGAAGGATCCGTATTCAGTGTATCGTTGCCATACTATTATGAACTGTACTCGTACTTGTCCAAAGGTAAGTATCTTTATAATATTGTACCATTTATCATCTACAAATATATTCTTCATACATTAGGGATTGAATCCTGGAAAAGCAATCGCGGAAATAAAGAAACTGTTAGCTAATATTAGCGAGAAGCAGAAACCAGGACTTGATGCTGCTGTATAAGTAAGTAGAATGAGAAAAAAATTAGTCAACGATATGCATACTTTGTCCAATATGGTTACTCATAAACTTGAGTTTTATCAAATAAAAGTGTATTGAAAAAAGTCACTTGCAACATTTGATAAAACAGTATATGCTGAAAAAACATTTTTTATGTAATAAATTGTATATTTCACATAATATTAATGTCTTTTACTATAAATAAAACTTGACTCCTTGATACAGTAAATAGGTACTTACATTTATATTTGGAACTATTTATTTTATGTACATTGATACACAAGGGAAAATATATTAAAGTTGATTGACTAAATCCAGTATAATATATTACATATTGTATATTTTTGTGACAACTCGTATTAATAATATGAACATGCTAAAACATTTAACAATTCTTCAATGAGCAAAATCTTTTTTGGATATGTATTCATTTGTTTCCTTATATTAAAAACAAAATTGTACTAGTCGTATTGAATAAAATTTTTAGTGTCATCAAAAATATATAGATATATCGTGTTAACACTAAAAATTCGTGCATTATAGTTGACAATAAAATCGTAGGAAATCGTGCGGTCGTAAGGTACGTTAGACAACATGTAGTAATATTTTAATATTTTCAAAATGCTCATGAAATACGTAGAACTCATGATATGTATAGCTTAGAACTATCTACAAATTGTTTGAAACTTTTAAAGATTATATATATGTGATACATATATATAATCTTTATATATATATTTATGGCTCTGCAGCCATTCTGTTCCTAGCCGTTTCTCGTGATCTATTGTGTACTTCTGCTGTTCGTAATGTTATACCAAATATATCTTCGTGATAACGATTCTCATCCTAAAAGTATTAAGAAGAAATCAGACAGTTCATATAAATTGTTTACATAATAATTATGTAGAACTTACACGTAGGGACAACATGTATGCTTCGACTTGTTGATTTGTCATTTCACCGTGTGTTTGTATTATTTGTTTTAAAGTTTGGTAAACATCCTCTGCCATTGTACAGTCACCACATACGTAGAAGTGACCGCGTTCGTACACCAACATATCATAAATCTGTGGTGCTTCCGCTTGAATTAAATCTTGTACATATGTCTGTAAAAACAATAATAAATAATAGAATATCATTCAATAGATTACGAAGAAAATGTGTTGAAGTAATGCAGAGAATTTCATTGTATTCTATACGCGGTACCTTCTTCAACCCAGGCTCTCGAGAAAGAGCCAAGAAGACCTTATCTAAAACTCCAGCTTTTATCATTTCCTCTTTCTCTTGTCTGTATAAATCTAAATTCCTTTGCCGACAACCGAAGAATAACCACACTTTCCCATACTCGAGCTCTATAAAATTCGAATTATTTTTATAATTGAGTTTATATTAATGAATAGAAAAAGGTACCTGGATAACGTTTGATTTCCGCGAGTCTGTGACTCCAAAAACCGCGGAAAGGCGCGATTCCTGTACCCGGACCAACTAGTATCATGGGGGCTTCTGGTTCGGTTGGCATATAAAAATTAGGGGCGCTGAGTTGAAAAGGTAAAGAATACATTAAAATTATTATAAAGTAATATTACTCTACTTGGAGTACACTATACAATGATTTACCTGCGTACAAACACGTAGAGTGGTTCTCCATCTGATACCTCACATAGATAATTAGAACAAACTCCGTAATGAATTGGTCCAGATCCACCTAAAGTATTTTATCCAAATGAATTAGTTTCTAATACCTCAACGATCTACACAATATTAAATACCTTGTGTTTTATATTGTACTACTGCAACGGTAAGATGTATTTGTCCCTGATGCACATCAGGAGAAGACGAGATACTGTAAAATCTTGGTTGCAAGGGAGTTAGATGAAGCAGTAGTAATGGCGCAAAAGGTTTTACAGACGGAAATTCTTTCAGCACTTCTACCAAATTAGGAAATTTCCAATGCCTCCAGTCTTCGTATGCAGCTGAGTCCTGTATTGATACCAAAATTCTTTAAAAACTGCTTCTAATCTTAAACATTGAACAGTTCTTAATTAAATTTTAATAGAACACTTACAGAAGATAGGAGATTTAGCTGAGCTTGTTCTTTTGGATTAGTAGCTATCGATGCAAAGTATCTGAGAAGGTTCGGCGATGGAGGCGTAGTAATATCCAAAAATCTGGTTAACAACATTCTCAGGGTATTAGGTAAATATCTATCGTGTGCTATCCATGTTTTTACAATACCTACACGAGTAAGATTACAGAGATAATTAAAATCACAAAGGAGTATCAGTTTTACGTATTTAATGATACTTATGCAAACCATTGGGTGTGTGAGATTGTTTTTGCATTTGTAATTCAATCGATACATCTGGATCAAATGGAGTCTGTATCCGTTCCAAAATTTCCTCTACAAATTCTGATCTGTTGCACGCGAAAACTCCCAAATGATCACCCGGTTTATACAATATTTCCATGCTTGCTATGTCATCCAGTTCCAAAAGTAATGTGGTTCCACTGTGAAAGTAAAAACAAGTAAATTTACGGTATATTATAATGCCGTAAAAATGTGTATTAAAACGTGTATAAGTACCTTGTTGAATCACCACTTAAATTTGTTTTTCCAAACATGTTGCAAGTGGTAACGTTTCTGTTATGGCATTTGCTCAGAGCTGAAATATATACGTTTCACGTGCGAAGTTTTAAATAAGAGTAACATTGCACACATTGAAATAATAAATATATATATATATATTTATGTTTACCTTTTGCAATTGGTTGTGGATCAGCCTCTACGAAACGAACAGTCGCAGCAGACAATGCCTCTGATCCCAAAGATAAAGCAACTTCCAGTAAAGTGTCGTCATCGTCCAAACAAAACGTTTCACAAGCAACCTGGAATAACAGTTATAATTAGTTATTAGACAATTAGTTTTGTTAAATAAAATACCAACGGTGAATGTATCTGCTGCCCATTTTCGGAAAGCCTGTTCCTGCCCGCACATTTCATCCCCTTGGGCTAATCGCAATAAACGTTCTCCGCCTAATTCGCCCAATAAATTGTCCACGTAGCGACCAAACGCGCAAAAATTCGGATACGCCGATGATCCCAATGCAAACACAGCGAATCTGCAGAAGAATATTGTTGGTCTCGTATTCGATGCATACGACTCGATTCGTGTAACACATACCTGACGTTACTCAAGGGCCCAAAAGTGTCTTCCGTTTGGGAATCGGTAGTCGACCCACGCACAGAATCTAATCTATCCAATCTTTTGGAGTTACTTACTTCCGTTTGGCTGTTCGCCTTGATAAACGATTTCGAGGTTGCTAAACTGCAATTACGGTAGAATTATGAAGCAATCTCTGATTAAGGGAGAATAGAAAGCGTTGCTGAGTGTTCGCCGTTACCTTACTTTATTGCCGCTATTAATGAACGTCTCATTCATTTTCATCGCGTATAAATTTTGCGCGAAAGCCTAAAAATTGAAGGGCATGTAACGAACATAGTTAAAAACGTGGAAGTCGTTCCGTGGAATTAAATTACTTCGCCATTTTCCGGGGGGTCTCCGTTCCCAAAAGTGGACGTTATTACCAGCAATAAAGCTTCGTGTTCGATGTTGCTGATGTCGTAGTCTGACATGGACAGTACCTGTAACCGACAGTTCCGAGTATTTTCAAATTCTCCAGGAGACCAACGAAGTCAGAAATACCTGGGAGTGGAACGCGTGTCCCAGCAATTCGGCGAGTTTTTCGGCGTACATCTGCGACGTTCCAGTTTCCGTAGCGAAAAGCACCGTGGCCTTTATTCTCCGGGACAGAGCTCTTCCAAACAACTTCGACGTGAATTTAACAGCTCTGAAACGACATTTAACGTTCATCGAGAAATTCAGTTGTCGCACTTCGTTTTCCACTCCAACAGTTTACCTTGCAATTTGTTTGAAATGGAACTTTCGTCTTGGTTTCTTAGTCGTGGACTTCTTGTCTCGTCCTTTCTTCCAGACATGCGTCTTCCAAGCAGGATCCTAGGATTGTATAATAAACAATATAATATGACTATGTGGAACCAATGGAAAATTGTTGGTCTCATAAAAACCTGAGCATCGTAAGACGGTTTCAAGTGGTACAAAGCCATTTCCTGGTGGAACACCGGCGTGGCTGACCCAGATATCGGTGGTACAATCCACAGCCAATCAGCCGGGCATCCGTTCCTCAGTCGCATTTCGTTCTCATAATGTTTCATGAAAGATTCCGAAGCCATGTGATGATCTACAATCGTCACATTCTTCATCTGAAAAAACAGATCTTAATTTAATACTCCTTCCCACAGCGCACTTAGAATAAAGAGCAACACGAGCGTGTACTTGAAAACTGTGCAACACAGCGACGTTGGCTTCTATCATAGCTTTGTCTTTCCACAGTGACGTCGAGGTTCTCGTGTCGAGGCCCATGTGCGTCGCTATGGTCTGCAAAAAGTATTTGCTTCAGCCTATCCGTAACACCAGCAGAATGTTACAATTATTTAAAACGCGGACCTCTAATAAATTATATCGTTGAACGTCGCACAGGTCCCTGGCTCCAATTTCGGTGCTCATGTACCATCCGTTGAAGGGCGCAGCCGTGAACTCCAAACCGCCGCAGTCGAAGACCATCCCCGATACCGCGGGCACAGCGAACCATTTCAGTTCCAACTTCTCGAACCAGTCGTACCTGATTTCGAATGATTGAATTAATTGATAGTAATCCAGTAACACGTTAACCCTTTCACTACTGAATACTCCCAGTGGATGAAGTATCTTTTTGCTTAGCTTACTGGACTACCAGTGACACTTACATGGGGTGACTTAGAGGAACTTCAAGGACCAGTTCGCTCGGGATGTCGAAGTAATCCGGATCATGACCATTCGCTGACAGTACTAACGGTAATATGTCGAAGCGGGTGCGCGCACCTTTCCAGCCTAACTTTATGCAGAGCTGCGTAACACAATAAATTAAATATGCGGTAATAAGTTTTGAAAACAATTCTTGATAGTTTTCAATCTAATGTAATCGTTTAATCGGTAACACTAGATTTACTAGATTTACAGATTTTTCATGGATACTGAATTTGATAAATATTATTTATCAAATGTCCAAGGTAATTACTATTGATGCAATCGCACGGATATGTATTCCAATTGTCTGCTTTTAAACCTCCAATTTCCAAAATCTAAATGAATATCAACATCTCTAAATCCGATAGAATAAAATGTACAGTAAATGTCTGTAAACCTAGCGTTAAACAATATGCATTTACTTCTGTGAAGTCAACGTTAGCTGGATCACCGGTCACGGTGCCATCTGGATTCTTGTAACCGGCATAGCCGATCAGTTGCTGGTTCCACACTCTGTAATCGTGTTTCCCGTCTGTGCGTTGGGGAAATATCGTTATCGCGGACCTGTAACGTCATTCAATGAGCAACGAGCGATCTTCAAAGAGCATTCCGTTAATTAACTCTACCTGATGTTCCCTTTATTCGTGCTGTACTTAATGTGGTTGCACAGCGCTTCGAACATACCGCTGGTCGTGGTCACGTAACGGCAATCGAACACCTGTTGACAAATGATATTTAAATTTGAATTCAGAACGGCCATCTTCCTAAATTTCTCCTTGTTTTTTATTTATTTATTCTCTTCTTCCTTCTTCGACTCTAGCTGTTCTCACCCTATCCACGTTATTCCATCGAGATCATCATCGACGGGTTACCTACTTGCAATTTCGACCATTGAATGCGACCAATGCATCTCGCTGCGTTGCGCCACGCCAATTTCGCTCCGAAAATTAATTCCGTTTCGGTCAACTGATAAGTGCCGGTGGCTAGGACTTCCTTCTGCACGTAGTCCCAACGGGAACGATGCGCGTCGCTGTTTAATCTGCAAACAATTTACCATTTAGAACAATGATGATAATAAGAAGAACAATGAAGATAATAAATATAAATTGTGGATGGTCCGCGATCCCTATTGATTAAGCGTTCAATATCTAATTTCGCAGATTCAAAGGGTTAAATAGGGTAATAGGCTCCTATGCAAAATTCAGTGCATCACTGGAAACAGTTGAACATGGGTATAGACATTTGACGATTTAAACGAGATCAGACCATCTCACCCGGAATTGTCCTATAGTCTCCCGACCTGCTTCAAATCCCAGCAACCGTACCTTCTGATGGAAGAAAAGTACTGCTCGAGGAAGTCTTTCGCGTGCACGAGGGTCTCCTCCCTCGAACGAGGCTCCGGCCCGTGCGTCGGAAGCTGCATAACGCTGCCGAGGCACACTTGACCCGAGCACAGCGTTCTCTGGAAAAGATACGTTTTACCGTTAACGATGGTGAAATTACAGATTACCATTACTCCGATAAAATTACTAATTACACGTTACTTCCGTTCTATTTTTAACCCTTTGTTAGTTCATTCAATTGCAGCTTAACATGACGCTCTATTTATTTATTCAGGAATTTGGGAGTCATTGAAATGTTACCTTTAAATGGTACGATTGTGATACTACAAATAAATATAGAAAAAATGGTTAAAACAGGTAAAGGTTGCAATAAAATAGAATGTCGAGTCTGACTCGAGGAAGTTCTATTAGAAAGTTTAAACTTAATCTTGGTCGAAAGCCTGCAAACATGTACAAAGAGGTCATAAACTGTTTTTCTTTTCATTGGCCGTGTCCCCTATATACTTCCGAAGATGATGTTATCTCACGGATGATCGAACGTCGCCGATGAAAGTACCGATAGGGCTGTGCTTTAAGTCTTTAAGCTTCGTGATACATATATATCTTCGACTCCAATTTTCTTTCCTCTCTACACGAGCTTAAGTAAGCCAGTGCAGATTTTCCTTGTATTTTCCTTGTGTGACTTTAATCGTGACATCGGTTTAATGGTTTTTCAGTGAACAGTTTTGAATATGTTCCAATCTTTTCTTGAAGTCGAAGAAAGATATGTAATATATATTTAAATATATCACTACGAATGTATTATGTACTTTATCCAATAATGATAATATTTATATGTATACATAAAGCAAACGTGAATTTTCTATTTTGCAAATGTGTCCCAATCTCTTCCTGAAATCGAAGAAAGATGTATTATAAATAACAATATATATTTATATATACATAAGACAACGTTACTTAAATACGCATACGCTTTCCGCAAGCGTGAATTTTCCATTTCCCAAGCGTACCACATTATCCCTCGGGTCGTTCAAAAAGCTCGGTCGGTCAGGTTGTTTTGAGTAGGACGTCACGCACACCCCTACATCCGCGCAACTAGTGGGCCGCGAACGCACGCTCATTCTCGGATGAGTATTGACTCGGTCCACGTCAAATTCGCCCACACTCGTAATTTCCCAGTGATCCCCGCACCATCGTCTCACCATCGAAATTCCCATGGCTACTCCACTCCGTCCTTCCTTTATCCCATTACTCGCTTCGAAAACCCATTCTTACCAGAACACCGAGCATCGAGTCAAAGGAAATAATTCGTACAGTACAATCCCTATCGCCTTGTATTTTCCACATTCGCTGGGTTCTCAGAATGAAGTATCAAAAATTAAAATATCAAAGAAAAATCGGAATGACATAACTCGGGACACAGGGGGTTCGAGTAATTCCAAATTTAGCAGAACCCGAAGGATGGATAGGTCCGCGCTGAGAGAACCGAGATGAATGAACGAAGGAATTGATTTGATGTGATTTTTATTATCGTACCTCCGCATTCCTGGCGTGCAGAGAATCGAACGCCTCGGTCTTGTGGATCAGATTTCTCAGTTTAGTCGGCTTCCTTTGGCAGGCTCCAGTCTCGTGCTCCTTCATCTCGACGTCTTGCTCGCTCGAGAACGCGCCCCTGACTCGCCTGTCACCGCTCGACGCTCGCGTATATATCGCGCCGCGGCATCTAGCGCTGGAACTTATCCTCCGCGAGTCCTGCAGCGCACGGAAGATGGCGGGGGGCAGCGGGGCATCGACTGGAGACCAGCAGAAGACACCAACAAAATGTCACGTGCGTAAAGCTGGAAAAAATTCGTAGAAAACATCCTTTGAATATTATTTGACGGTAACAGGTTGAACAAAATATATAAAGCCTGGTTAAGTCTTGGTTAGGTCTTGTTAAGTCGACTGGGGACTAACAGAAGGCAGCAACAAAATGTCACGTGCGTAAAGCTGGCCAGAATTCGTAGAAAACATCCTTTGAATATTATTTGACAGTAACAGGTTGAATAAAATTTCTTTAAACTTTGTTGTGCGATTGATTTTGCTTTTGAAAGTTAATAGAGCAACGTAGATCAGAAACCGTTATACCTCAGCATGCGCGCAGTAGATGTGCAATGGATTTCGCGCGCGAACTAACAATGCATTCCGAAGGTGCTAACGTAAATTGCGTCTCAGTGCTCGCGTTCGTTCTAGCTCGAATGTAAAGTGAATAATTCCTTTGATCGAATTGTGCTATTCTAATTATTTCGTGCAATTAATATATAAGAAGCGGACTGGTGAAAGTTGATGAAAGTTCGAAGGGGTGTAAAGTTTTGTAAATAAAACTTGATGACGTTAGTGACGCCATCGTCTGGCGTGCGTTAAAAATTTGTAGTTCGTTGTTGTGGAATTTTACTAATTTTCCTTTGAATGTTTTACCAGTCTGACACGTGTATGTACTATGCACGTGGCGAGTAGTAGATCCAAGTAGTACGAATAAAGGTTTAACGCGTCGAGTAGTCGAGTCGAGCGCTGAATCTACTTGCGTAGTAGTAATAAAATTTCTTCGGCGGACTAGCGGTGGGAATCAAGCCTCGCGAATCCATTTCCGTCGCGACAAATAAATCAGTGATTACTTCCTGTTCGAAGCGTGTTCAGATAAGTATGGGAAATCATCCAAGAGAGTACATTAGACTTAATAGATGCTTCACAATAATTCCGATTGCGTTTTATTTCTTCCCGAACCAAGGCGCAATTGAAACGAACGCAACGATGAACCAGGAGGAAGGTAAACAAACATCCGGTTTGGAATCGTGCACCGTCTCTTCGGAAAAATTACCGCGAATTCTGCGATCCAGCGGTGAGCTAGTATTAGCGATTTTTATGATGCTTAATTGGGCAATAAAGATTCTAATTTCACGCGGTTCCCACAGGTTCCGATGGGAGGGACGTGAAGTTTCGCTCGCAAGCGATGAAACGGAGAATCGACTGTACACCGCAGGACAGTCCACTGAAGCACCTGAAGACACCCGACAGTCGCGGTACGTTCAAAAATCCAGGTAAAAACGCGACCGACTCGTGTTAAATGAGATATTTCAAATTTTCCAATTTTCTAGTACACGCAGCACTAGACGTTCGAAGTGTTTCAATGTTTCGACGATTTAAAGCGTGAAACGAGATAAGTAAAATACGAGTAAATGAAAAAAAATATTTGAAAGTACATATGAAGGTATATTTTGTGTCCTTGAAATAAAATACTGATTTGATACGAGGTATGGGAATATGGGAAACTTGAAGTCAAGGTCAAACCAAGGTCATACTCCTTTTTAAGCGATTACTCGATTTGTCAAGTTTAATTGGCTTTTCATTAACAAGCATGAAAGTTATATATTGTATTAATTAAGCTGATAAATATAACTTTGATGTGATTTGATATTTTTATATTCGGTAATCTCAAATTAATATACGCTACAGGATCTTTCAGAAAGGACGTGAAACTGCAATGCGGAAGCGGTTCCAGCCACCGGAAGAGCGAGACGCCTCACTATGAGAGTATGGAGAGGATGCAGAAAGTAAGCCCAGGCGGGAAATTCGTCAACACGTTGCTGGAACAGTGGTCGAAGTATACAGGTGTTCAAAATCCTTTTTCGCAGACAGGAGGGGTAAATCTCTTTCGAATATTAATCGAATAACTGATCATTTTACTGGGTCTTGTAATAGATTACACTGGTTACAACAGGTGCAAGACAGCCCGATAATAGAAGAAATGAAGCGAAAACTCGCCGCAGAGGAAAGGAAGGTTCAGGTGCTTCAGAAGAAGCTGAAAACCTGCGAGGAAGCGATATCCTGCATCTCAGCGTCTCGCGAGGCTGAGTTACAGGCCAAGGAAGAGATATTTCGACAGTAACGGGATCACTTTTATCATCTACATATTATGCTTAGTTAAATTTATTCGATTAACGGAAAGAATTAAAAGTGTATTCAACCTGAACCGCTTTAGACTGAACAGCGATTGGGAATCGATTACCAATTACTATTCCGAGATATCTGAAAGTTTGAAGAGGTTTCAAGAGTACAAAGACAACTTGTATAAACTGTATAACAATGTCATTGCCACGCAAGTATCAACGGTGAAGACGTTGCAAGAAGAATTGAATAAGATGAGACTAAGAGGTAAACAAACGTGTGTCTAAATTGAAATGATAGAGGCTTGTTTTTTTTTACTTGTATTCTCTCGTAGACGAGGAGAAAAAGAACGTCTACGCGGAGAGCGAGAAGAAAACGATAATTCAAGAGAAAAGGTATGTCTCTAAATTGTAGAGTAATCTCGGCGGATCATCAGGTTTGAAATTATTAGAATACAGGAAATGATGATAACGGAGACCGAGTTGAAGAAACAATTGGAGAATGTTAAGAGTGACTCAACGTCGGAGAGAAATCGTTTACACAACGTTCACGCAGAAGAGAAGTTAGAATTGCTAAAGGTTCGAAAACATTTTGCAATTCTTGTTTTTGCGTAAAAAATGCGTGCGTTATCTTTTGTTCGACGCATTTTTAACGTAGAGGTAGTACACGTTGTAAGCGATCACGATTTCAGAAACAAGAGAAACTCACGTCGACGAATGAGGAGTTACAAGGGCAATTAAAAAATATCGCTGAGGAGAAGCAGAATTTAATGGATTCGTTGAAAGAAAGAGATAAAGAGATATCGGTTCTACAAGAAGACGTTGTAACATTCAAGTGAGTGTCTGTAGTTGTAGTCCGAGCAATTTAGATCATTGAAGAAGCTAATCCATGAATTTATTTTGTAAGAAATAAGATTGAGGATTTGTTAAGTCAGACTACAGAATTAAACGAGAAATACGAGAGATCGGTTGAAAAGGTAGAGGAATATGAAAAGGAATTGGAATTCAAAATGCAAGAAGTAAAAACGTGTAACTTTTTGAATCTATACGTTTAATTATTGTATGTAAAAATTAACATTATTATTCTTAAATAGATTAATAGACTCAAAGAGAACTTGAACACCAGACAGGAGCTAGAAGTTAGCTTAGCTAAAGATCTCGACGCGATTGAAAACAAATATCAACAAGCTAATAACGATTTCACGAACGTACAGAATAAATTAAAGGACATGGAAGGTCGTAATGCGGGCTTACAAAGGTCGATTCAAGATATGAAAAATAAAGCTGAGCATAAAGCTATAGAATTAAACAAAAAAATCGAATTTCTAGAGAAGGAAAAGGAGAAAATACTTTCGGAGAAGCATATAATAATTCAGGTGTGTTAAAAAGTAAATACATTGGTAAGAGAGTGTTGTATTGATATGAATTTAATTGTTTCTCATTAAATAGGATCTAGAGAACTCGAGGAAATTATTAAAAGAGAAATATGAAGCGGAAATAACGGCTTTAAGAAAAGAGTTTGATACCAAATTATCTGAGATCAAATTTCAAACTACTTTCATGAAATTGAACAACACGTTGAATAAAATGGATGAAGGAAATCAAACTACAAAAAAGAATGAAACAAAAGAAAATCAAAACGATTTGAATGAGAGGGCGCAATTGATTATAGAAGATTACCATACCGTAGAAAGTAGAGTAAAAACAAAAAGGAATCGAGCACAAACTGATAAAATTATTGAATCGCCAAAGACTACATCTAGAAATGAAAGTGAAGACGAGGAAGATATATACAGCTTTACTACTCAGAAAATGAATAACAAATCACAGAAAGTAAGTTACAATGCGTATGTGTATGCGTGTATAATATTTTATTTGATTACAGCTATTGTTGTTATTGTTGGGAAAAGGAAAAGAAATTAAGATTAATTCATTTTTTGCACTGAATGACATTTTTTGAATAGGTTTCAGATCACAACGAGAACGTTTCCTACCTTACTCGAGATAAAAGTCTAATGCAGCTGAGTATGGGGTCACAGAAAACCCAAGAATGGAGAAACGAGGTATTTTTAGAGTACATCTTTTATATGTTAATTATATATACATCCACTTATATAATTTTGTCATTATTTTGTATAAACAGGACTCTAGTAGTACATCAAAGAAAAAGAAAATTTTTAAAACGCGTGATACTGGATTAAGACAATACGCAATTACGCGAAAATCGTTAAAGAAGTAAAATTTCACACAATAAGGATGTTAAAATTCGAATTTAATATTTAAATTTCAGTGTTTTACTTAACAGACGTAGTAATAACCAGTGGTAATACGATAATATTCTTTAATATTAAATAACAAACATTTGTAACAGTACATTATCATCAATAAAACATATGTAACATTTTTTTTACAACGTTACATGCTACTTTCATTTTAACATTTTAACACTATACTATTTGGGAAAATGTGTATTGCATACATAATGTTGGACCCTTTCTCAAGTATAATTGATAAGTTAACTATCGTATTTACATATGTATGTAAATATATTACAGCATATTATACTTTACAGTCATGTATACATACACATTCCAAATAACAATAAGTCCTTCATATTCATTGTACTTACAACTCATTTTAATTACAATTATTTATCAAAGGAAGAGGAAGAGGTATCCCATTTCATTGATCTTTCTATAGCCAGTTTCCATTTGGAATACCTTAAATCTCGTTCTGAAACATGAACCCATAGTAAGAATTTATATTGTTCGTTTCATGCTAACGCATTGTACAAAAGAGCATTACCGTCTTCTCCGATCGCAGGTGTGAATTTTGTAACTTGCGATGCATCGACCTCATTAATATCAATAATGCCTGTACCTACACCTGCTAATATAGCTGCTCCTAACGCTGTTGTTTCCACCATGTTGGGTCTCACTATATAAAATGAATTTTCATAGATTTTACAAACGGATTTATTGAAAAGTGAATGAAGCTAAGAATTTAACAGTATAAACAACTTAACGTATAAAAAGAGATACATACCAACATTTATTCCAGTAATATCAGCTTGTAACTGCATGAGTAAATTATTTACAGTCATACCACCATCAACTAGTAAAGTTGTCAACTTTGTTCCAGAATCCTTTACCATGGCTTCTAAAATATCCCTTGTCTGAAAACAAACAGCTTCTAAAGCCGCCCTTACAATATGGTAATCTTGCGTATCTTCTGTGATACCACATATTATCCTAATAAAGATACATAGACAATTTTTTATAAGATGTAACTAATGGCACGAAAGAACAATAGTTCTTCCAGAAGTTAATCTTTAATTTCATTCATTTACCCTCGTGCATCTTGTTGCCAATACGGTGCGTACAAGCCAGAAAATGCAGGAACGAAATAGACATCACCAGAATTCTTAACGCTTTCCGCCATTTCTTGGCATTGTGAAATGTTATTGAAGAGTTGTATATTATCTCGTAACCAGGACAAAGCTGCTCCGGCCACAGCGACGGAGCCTTCTAACGCATAAACTGCGGACGATTTACCTAGTTTGTATGCAATAGTTGTTATAAGACCTTGATTGGAATCTACTTTCTGAAAGAATTGTGCATGTGTACCGATTAATACTGAATTGAAATTTTTATGTTTAGCTTCTAACAGTATTAAAAATGTAATTGAAAAGCAGAATACATACAACACTTCCAGTATTATATAGCAAGAAACAACCAGTTCCATAAGTAGCTTTTGCTTGTCCTGGTTTTAAACACAGCTGACCAAGTAGAGCTCCTTGTTGGTCACCTACACACTACATATATAAATAGAGGAAACCATTGATTTAACTAGAAATTAGTATTCAGAATTACAAGCTCTGATATTTTACCCCTGCTATAGGTACTCCTGAAAGGATTTCCGGATTTGAAATAGTTCCATATACTTCAGCACTAGACCGTATTTCAGGGAGGATATGTTGTGGAATCCCAAAAAATCGGCACAGTAAGGGATCCCATTTCAAAGATTCAATGTTCATTAACATGGTACGGGATGCATTTGAAACATCAGTCACATGTAATTGACCTTTTGTCAGATTCTGTAAAATGAAAGAGAAATAAAAAATAATGTAATGTAGTTATTGTAATTACATGGTAAATATTCTGGTAAGAATAAACTGTTGGCACACCCAAATAAGCCATGTATCCACTGTTCCAAAAGAACATTTTTCTGCATCTACCGCTTGTTTCACGCGTGGTATGTTGTCAATAAGCCAACGTATTTTAAGAGCACTAAAATATGGTGACATTGGAAGCCCGCAGAGTGGTTTTAAATAATTTTTATTCCTTGTTTTATTTGGTATACTGTCCAGTATATCTTCTAATGTTGTAGTTGTTCTCATATCGAGCCAAACTATAAAAGTAATATCATTTGTTATCATTGTTAACATTATACAAACAAACAGATTGCATATATAAAGATATCCAAACAATGCTGTATACATTACCAATTGCATTATGCAATGGTTCTCCTGTTTCTTTATCCCACACCAGAGTAGTTTCTCGTTGATTGGTGATTCCAACTGCCTTTATATTTGACGCATTTATACCAATATTGTTTAGTTTTTCCATTGTCTTCTTTATACAAGTTATAACAGCTTGTAAAATCTCTTTTGGATCTTGTTCCACCCATCCTTCCTGTGGATATTTCTGAGTAATTTCAACCTGATGTGATGCTATTACTTTCCTGCGTAATACATCAAATACCTACAGAATTATATATAATTAATACATCTTTATTCATAATTTTCAAATATACTGCATCATGATGAATATACATAAACTAAATTTTTGAATGAAAAAAAAAGAGAGAACAGCTAGACAATAAATCGGTTAAAGGTCGACCGTTAAAGATTTTAAAAAATATAAAAGTTTTTAAAACAAACAACGATAATTCGTCTAAACTGTCAAAAGATGTTTAGCTTACAATCTAATGGAATGTATCATAAAGTAAACATGAACGTGTAACCGTATTGGAAGTAAAGTTTAAATTCCATTCGGTTATCTTTTCTGTTCATTCGTTTCTTTTTTTTTCATTTCGTTTAAATCTACAAATACAAGCAAAAAAGTTCACTTACCAAGAACCGAGCGCTACTCGTTCCTTCATCTATCGCCCCAATGAGCGGCCCTGAATAATCAATGTTCTCTGGCATATTTTTTCGTTATTTTCGACTTAGTATACGACAAAACAGTTAAAATGACCTATGGTTAACCTTCGTCCTAACTTGTTATGTAATGATGAACATTAAATATAAATTCGGTCAGTGATAAGAGCACGTATCGAGAACCCAAAAATAAAACGTATCCGAAAAATATGAAATAATTTTGTCTTCCTCTTCACTCACCTCTTCACGGAATTATCTCTTGTGCGTAGATTCTTTCTGTCATAAATATTGTTTGTTACGTGGCAATTTATGAACAATTGAAAATCTTTCGTAAACTCATTTTATTAGGATTCAATGATTTACTTATCGGTATAAATTATACTGAAAACAATTCATTCGTTGCATTAAAATAAGAAGTATCGACTCCACGTGGGGAACCAAGTTTTCTTGCTTCTAAGTAGTAAATATTAATATTCGACTTGGATTATCGACGTTACACCGTTTTTTAAAAAATATACGAGGAACATATTTTATTAATTTCTTCTCTTTACATTAATACAAGGAAAAACGTATTGATTGAAGCAAATGTTTTACTCCTGTTGATGATATATATATATACTTACATACCTACATATTTATTAGTATTAATTTTCCTCCAAAGAGCAGATGAAATTAATTTATATCTATACAATGAAAGTAACACACAACATACAAAATATGGTAAACAGTTTTTATTTCAAATAAATATTATTTAATCAGATTCTAAATCAGTTTAATGTAAATCAAACCACATAATCTTAATACCATTAAAGTAATACCAGAAGCATCGACCACAAGAAACGAACTGAATTTTTTGCTACACATTAAAATTTACAATAATTTTAAATCATAATAAAATATTTTCCCCATAATTCAGCTGGCTTGCTGTTCGTGTTAATAAACAAATATCTCCAAAACACGTGGCACGTGTTTTCGTCTATGGCAAAATAAATTCGGATCACACAAACAAGCTTACTTTATGCGATTTCAATAAATAAGAATTAAGCAAGCTTTTTTTAACAAATATTTAATATTATCTTACATTTTTTTGGGAATCAAATTGAATACTGTTGCGAATAGTATTATTTTAACTGCAAGGTTGGCAGCAAAAATGCTTTCGGATATCCCTAGATTTTAGTAATTTTCTATGATCGAGGAATATTTATCTCATTTCACTTTGCGTTACCGGTAAGGATAGACGTACGTTTGTAGAAGAAGCGAACGATTTCTTTGCTCGATATAATTGAATTAGCTTAAACTGTGATCAGTGGATAATACGCGTGGATTTTCTTATGTTTCAGGCAAATCCACCATTAAACTGGCTTCGTAATAGACAGTTATTACTTGGCCGGATTTCTTTATTACGGTAGAGTGAGTATGGCTTCCTGAAACGTCGTGTCCGTCCCATACGAATATCTCTCTTTCTCTTTCCCTGTCTTCCTCCCTTCGAGCATAACGGCACTAACTTTGGGATTACGGGTGACTCCTGTTCCGTTTAAGAAACTCATGAGCTTCGTTCCCTGATACGTACAACGTGCACACGTACCGTTTACGAAAGAGGTTAGCGATCTTGTGACGTGTCAAGTGAATACTTCATTCCATATGGTGGTCACTGGCACAATCACTTGCTGGTCATTGACATGCTGGCATTTAACTATTTCGCTGTTTCGCGTATTCAATAATTGTCATGGGACATGTGACTTCGAATCGGGTGCAACATCGTCGATTAAACGTTTATGTAAAATGAATGTCGCCGTTGAAAGGTGTTTTAGATTGTATTCTATAGACATGACTATCGATTTCCCTTAGAATTTTTCGTATCTGCCGCTACTCTCTTTCCTAATTTCTCGAACTTTTTAAATCACATGGTATTGCTCAAAAATGTGGCTGACTTGGTTAATTATACTCATGGAATATATTTTAGATACTTTATTCTACTTGAAATATATGATACAATTATAAATGTTTAAAAATATTTAATGAAGGAAATTCTGGGTGATCATTTCTTTTTTTGAATTGTATAGGTCATGTTTCAAAGACAAGGCATTATCAATGAATAATATTTATTGTTATAATACATGATTATATATGAACATATAATTTCTTAAAAGAATATATTGAATGCTGTTTAAAATATTTTGTAAGTTTTGTAAATGTGTTGTGGTTCGTATTATAGTGCTACTGTAAGGACTTGGCACGAAACAGGATAATCCCACTATGCAGCAGCAGTCAGTAATGGAAGAGGGAACGGCCTATGAGCCACCTACCTATGATGAGACATTCCCAGTACTTCCTGAATCAGCCAGTTCCAGTTCAGGGAAATTAAATATTTTCTCCATAAATAATAATTTACAATTAGGACGCATAACAATTACTCAGGTATAAATCATAGTTTTGAAGTGTAATATAGAATCTCTTCTTTACATGATTTTTTTTATCTTTCATGTAACATTTGTCTAGATGTTCCGAGTACCTGGAGAAGAACGCAAGTTTGATCATAGCGACAAATTTGGTGAACGTGAATCTATTCGTACATGTAAAACAATAATGAAAGAAACCAATACAATTATTGAAATAGCATCTTCAAAGGATCAGTCTCTTACATTCCTAATAACTGGCAAGCAGAATCAGGTTTTGGAAGCCAAACGTCGAATTTTAACAACGTTTCAAACTCAGGTTTGGTTCGAATAAATTATACAATGTATGCTAAGTTTACTAATATTTTAATATGCTCTATTCATTGTCACAGGCGAGTAAACAAATTAGCATTCCAAAGGATCACCATCGTTGGATTCTTGGAAAACAAGGGCAGCGTCTTAAAGATCTAGAGAAGACAACTGCAACTAAGATAAATGTCCCACCTGTGCAGGATCAGTCAGACACAATAACAATCACAGGGACAAAGGAAGGAATAGAGAAAGCTGAACATGAAATTCGAGTAATTTCAGATGAGCAAGTAGGTCAACATATTTGATTTTATCAATCTAAGTATTTTTAAGCAATGGAATAATGTATATACCGATGTATGTTACAGTCAAGAAAGGCGTTCGAACGAGTGTCTGTGCCAAAAATCTATCATCCTTTTATACATGGTGCGCATAATGAGAATCTCAATGCCATGATGGCAGAAACTGGAGCTCGAATTAATATTCCTCCTGCCTCTGTGCAAGAGGATGAGATTACTATTGCTGGTGAAAAGGAAGGTGTACTAGCAGCAAAGCAAAAGATTGAAGCTATTTATAGAGACATGGTAAAAGATTTAAACTAAGTTGTACGTTGTTTTTTTAAACGACTTACGATTAACATTGCATTTATTTTGTAGGAAAAAAGGTGTGCTATAGTGTCCGTTGAAGTTCCCAAGTCTCAGCACAAGTATGTTATTGGTCCCCGTGGTAGTACCATAGCAGAAATATTACAAGTTACCGGTGTAAGCGTCGAAATGCCAGCAGCAGATTCACCTACAGGAACTATTACTCTCAGAGGTCCTCAAGAGAAGCTTGGTCAAGGTGATTTTGGATTTACAGTTACATTCAATAATTAGTTACAAATAGGATATATTAATACGAACATTTTTACATATAGCGCTGGATAAAGTGTACGACAAAGCAAACAGCGTTCGTACAGCTGTAGTGAAAGCACCCGTTTGGATTCACAAATACATAATAGGAAGAAAAGGTGTGAATATTAAACGTATCACGCAAGAAATGCCGAAAGTGAATGTAGAATTTACTGGCAAAGAAGACAAAATCAAAATTGAAGGTCCACCAGAGGAAGTAGAAAAAGCACAAAATGAACTTCAACTGATGGCTAACGACCTGATATCTAAGCTTACTTTTACAGAATTAAATGTTGATCCCAGATTTTATAAACATATTATTGGGAAAAATGGTTGCAACGGTGAGCTTCTGACATTGAATTGGTCAGTTGGGATAATTAAACAACAGATTATTTATACAATTATTCCTTTCAGTGAACCGCGTGAAAGAAGGAACAGGCGTTGTGATTAATATTTCTGAAAATGATGGTAGTAACGTCATTCGTATCGAAGGAAACATGGCAGGCGTATTGAAAGCTCAAACGGTTTGTAATGTTTACTTATTTTACGTTATATATACTATATACATATGTGTATTAAAATTCTGTCTTCAACAGGAATTAGTTGAGATGGTGAAAAAACTAGAGAATGAAAAAGAGAAAGATGTGATAATAGATCACCGATATTATCCTAGTATTATTGGAAATAAGGGAGATAATATTAAAGAAATCAGAGATAAGTTTAATCAAGTACAGATTACTATTCCTGGTCCAGGTATGTAGTGTGATATATGCAATAACTAGAACTCGGATTTATGCCAGGTACAATCGTTTGAAAGACCTCGTCCCTTGTTGGCATTCGGCCAATCAGAGCTCTGTGTACATTTTTAGAGTACAGGTCACACCTCAGATTTTATATTGTTATATTGTTTCATTCTTACAAATTACGTAAACGAAATATGGCTTAAATATAACTTTTTAACGAAAAATCTAACTTACAAAGTTAATAAATAGAGGAATAGATTTTTTCGTTATTTATTCGTGTTGCATAGAACGTTCTCTTTTTTTATAGGGGAGAAAGGAGACATAGTAAAAATCAGGGGGCCTAAAGAAGACGTAGATAAGTGCCATAAATACTTAATGAAGTTGGTAAAAGAATTGAATGAGAATAATTATGTGCTAGAGGTACCAATCTTTAAACAATTCCATAAATTTGTAATTGGAAAAGGCGGAGTAAATATTCGTAAGGTTAATATCCCAGTGCTGTGAAGTTATTTTATAATAGGTCTGCAATTTAATTACTAATTTTCTCTTAATCATTAACAGATTAGGGAAGAAACACAAACCAAGATCGATCTACCTGCTGAAGGTGAGAAAAGTGATGTCATAACGATTACAGGAAAGGAAGAAAATGTAGAAAAAGCCAAAGAAATGATTCAGAAAATACAAAATGAGCTGGTAATTTCATTATTGTATCTTGTTAGGGAAAGCGAATTAACACTTCTATTAAATTATTTTTCATTTCTATATTAGGCTAATATCGTCACGTATGAAATAGTGATTCCACCGAAGTTTTACAATTCTCTTATTGGCATTGGTGGGAAACTGATTCATTCTATCATGGAAGATTGTGGAGGTGTTGCCATTAAATTCCCTACCGCAGAAAGTCGAAGCGACAAGGTAAATAGCTTTCGAAAGTTTCTAAATACCTTTATTTCTACATATCAAATTAATACATATATTTTATTTAGGTAACTATTAGAGGGCCAAAAGAAGACGTCGAAAAGGCGAAGCAGCAACTGCTAGAGCTTACAAATGAAAAGCAATTGTCCAGTTACTCAACCGAAGTCCGTGCCAAAGTACAACACCACAAATTCCTTATTGGAAAAAATGGTGCCAATATTAAAAAGGTTTTTATCGGAATCATTCAGTTACACGTGTATTCCTTATACACATTTTAGTCAGTGATTATCTCTTATCATATTTGCCATCTTCAGATAAGAGAATCCACCGGAGCACGTATTATATTCCCAACGGCTGAGGAACCAGATAAAGAAGTGATTACAATTATGGGAAAGAAGGAAGCTGTTGACAAAGCAAAGGCTGAATTAGAAGCTACAATCAAAGAAATCGTAAGTATATCATACTTTTAATTTTTATATAGAGATGCTAAAAGTGCATGCATCTATTTCAACTGACTTATAATTCAATTTGCGTTAAACTATGAATCTACATTTGTGTTGCTCTGCAGGATAACATTACGGAAGGTGAAATCCGTATCGATCCAAAGCATCATAGACATTTCGTTGCACGTAGAGGTGGGGTGTTACATCGTATCGCAGACGAGTGCGGAGGAGTACAAATTTCATTCCCAAGAGCAGGTGTTGACAGCGATCGCGTGATTCTGAAGGGCTCGCACGAATGTATAGAAGCCGCAAAACAACGAATGCGAGAGATTGTGCAGGAATTGGTAACGTTTTTTAATCCGTGTTGCATTGTTTCTTGATCAGCCTGTACTCATCAGTTTTAACGTTTCTTTGAAGGAATCGATGGTAACCGAAGAGTGCATAATACCTCAGAAACATCACCGCACTGTTATGGGGGCAAAAGGACGTAAAGTGCAACAGATTACTTCTGAATATGATGTGCAGATTAAATTCCCAGATCGTGATACGTATGGTTAGTGTACATAATAACTGCATCGCATTGACTTGACATATAGAATTAGTTAAAATTATTGAATTGAGATTCCTTAATTTTTATACGTTTCTAATGGAATATGATGAATTTCAGATGAACATCGCGAGACAGAACAGATGAACGGCGAGAACGGAGAAGTTTCAGAAACAGTTCCAGCTTGTGATATTATTCGCATTACAGGACAACCGGAAAATGTTGCATCTGCTAAACAAGCGCTTCTTGACTTAGTACCGATTACAATAGAGGTGCGGATAATTGGCTTAGTAGTATAAAACGGGAGAATAATTTTGTAATCGGATAAAAATATTATTTTTAACTCTAGGTTGAAGTGCCATTCGATTTACATCGTTCCATCATAGGACAGAAGGGCCGTGACGTGCGAGAATTAATGTACATATACGACGTTCATATCATGCTGTCTCCAGCAGAAGAAAAACTTGACTATATCAAGGTATATCATCACGTCGATATGTTAATTACTATCAGACAATAATGTATTGCATTTTGTTCATTAGATTTCGGGAACTCCGTCTTGCGTTGAAAATGCAAAGCAAGCTATTCTAGATAAGTGCAAAGCATTGGAAGCTGAGAGACAAGACAGAGCGCTGAAATCATTCGAATTGAAGGTATCGTTCATTATTCCAATGATTATTTATTGAGATCTCTTACAAATGACGCGACAGCGGATTAAATAGAAGCTTTCATTATTCCATTCTAATTTTGTTCACAAGTTGTACAGTAATATGAAAATTATTTTGGGCAATGTATTTGTTAATATTATTTAAACACTTATAAGAAAGAAAACTGAGTGTATCAATTCTTTCAGCTCGAAGTTAATCCAGAGTACCATCCAAAAATAATTGGACGAAAGGGAGCCGTAATTAATAAAATACGCAGCGATCATGACGTTCAAATCAACTTCCCACGTAAGGGTGACCCCGAAGAACATATCATTACAATCACAGGTTACGAAAAGAATGCATATAGCGCGCAAAATGATATTATGAAAATCGTCAATGAATTGGTAAGTTGAATCATTCGTATGAAACATAAGAAAGTAATCGTAAGCCAAAAATAATGCTATTTTCTTGTTGCTCTTCCCTTTATTTAGAACGGTTTGACGAAGGAAGAGGTGGACATAGATTACCGTGTACACTCGCGTTTGATTGGTACAAGAGGTAGAAATATTCGTAAAATAATGGACGAATTTGCGGTTGATATTAAATTCCCTCGAAGAACTGACCCCGATAAAAACCTAGTAACAATCGTGGGCACTGAAGAGAACGTAGCCGACGCGAAAGATCGTTTATTAAATTTAACTGAAGAATACGTGAGTACCTTAGAATTATTATCTACCGAGAGATAATCAACTATAAGCAGAAAATTAAAATGGTGTTTCAAATTGTTCACAGATTCAAGATGTCTTAGAAACACAAGTATCAGCCGAATCACCTGACTCCTCCCGCGTTTGGAGTCAAGGAGGAATTAGAGTGGCTAAACGAAACGCCGATGAAAATTCTACAGGTTTCTTCGTGAAAGGTGGTCCTTGGGAGCAGCAACCACAAAGTGCTCCGAATACTGCCAGCGTAGAGGAGTTCCCTCAGTTCGCCGGATACTCGCACGTACCTGTAACAAACCCCGACGGTCCTTGGGGCGTTAAGCGTTAAAGCGAACGATGAGATCGAACGCGATAGAAAGAAAACGAAATAATAAAAAGAAAAAAAAATGGACGAACACACGTGTAAGGTAACAAAGCATAATAACTTTCCTCTGACAAACAATATGAAAGGGTAAATGCATTAGTGCTAGGTGGTTCCCTGTTTCATTACTGATGTTGCTGCATACGACCTGGCCACTCTATTGGACTCTGACACTGGTTTACTACAAAATGTTTGACGATGGTGTTTATATTTACAGTTCATATATCAATATCCGATGTATCTGTAACTGTAACGCATAATATTTTAAGTTCGTTGCCATGTAGGAACATGTACACGTGCGCTCACACACACGCTCATAATATAAATACGCAGAGAGAGAGAGAGAGAGAGAAAGAGAGAGAATAATGCAGTCAGATGCAAGAACGGCGGCCAATTGTATTCATAACGAGAACATCTAATTTCACGTTTTATTTTCGCTGATATGCCTTTCAGGTACAGATATGTTGTACTTAAGACTGTGGCTTCGTAGGAACCAATTACTTTTCTTTTGTGTATTGTACACAGGGTGGTAAGTAAATTGTGGTATACCTGAGAAAAATGTTTCTACGTGTAAACAGAATACAACGAAAATTTAGAATTAAATTTTTTTAAATGAATTTTC